CGGTGTCACTTCTGAACAAGTCCACGACCTCCGGAGGTAAACGGAGCGACGCTTTCTCTTCTGTGTAGCTGTCGTCAGACTCCACATCAGTTCCAGTTAAAATTATTCCAGCCTTTCTGAATCCCGACAGGATGGTTTCGGTTGTCGCTGAAGTCCAGGCTTTGTCGATCCATCCAATGACTTCCAGGAAAGTTGCATGTTGCACCCACCCGGTTGGCACAAGTTTCTCACTCACTCCATACTTTCTTTCTGCTGGTCAATTACCGTTTTCGACTGCATATTTCGCTACTTGCAGCATATAATCTGCAAAATATGATTTTCTTTTTGGGCGTTATGGTGCGATCGACTGACATGATACAGACAGGACAGCAGCTCTTTCTATAGGAGACATGCACAGTTGAGCGAAGTGACTGGTACAGGACTAATAAGAGCAGCAGATACTGGCGCACAAGCCTAGAGCTTCTCACGGCTGTCAGTGTGAAAACTTTAATATATAAGTCGCACTGGAATACAAGTCACAGGACTACCCAAACCATGAAAAAAGTGTGACTTATTGTCCGAAAAATATGCTACCTGTTTTATTGCCTTCCATGGGTATCAATTATTTATGGATGCCGCATGAACTGGAGAATTTAATGCACTTTGATTAGCAATGATCTTGCAAACATGGTACCCCATACTTGACCCGGGATCAACCTTTTAACCGTGTCTGTGGCCCACCTGTTGAGCCTCTTAATCTATAGCGAGTCTGTTGCCACACTACAGCGGCTGTTTTGTGGCCATGCTCTTTAATCTCTGCCGATTAAGCTTGACCCTGCAGGTTCTAGGGTGTCATTAAGGGCAGATTAGTCCAAGTTTTTGGGGTCACCGCTGCTGCTGCTGGACAGTGACCAAAACTTCAGTGGTTGTTTTTAGAGAACTGTGTTTGGCCGTCCAGACAGCCCACCCTACAGCGCCCCTAATCACCACCCACTAATGTTAGAGAAGCTCATATCATGACCACTTAATGTTTCTGTGTCGCGCTAATGAAGAGACAACGTGACGGAGCCGGCGTCGTATGAACATGCCAACGGCCGCTCTGAGCCTTTGTTTGCTAATAAATCCTGGGGAGGTTACTCTGTCCACCCAAGACATGTTCAAGGGGGCAAGAGCCAGATTTCCCCATTGATAACACTGTACTTGGCCATGAAATATCCAAAAGGTCAGTTCACAAATGTTAAGCTGCCCCCCGTCTCTATTAAATATTATTGGCCTGTAAAATGCTGTGATATCGTTTGAAATAAAATGGACTACATTTATTTAGCATAGCAGATTCATTAAAATGTACATTTACTTAAAACTTAATCGCACAATTGTATGATATATAATACCCAGCTTTTACTACTCATGTCATAAAATTCTAGTTTATTAGAGAGACAGATTGTAAAGGCAGCCAGCATGTGTGAAAGCATGTACTATTTTCATGTTTGGACTGTATGTTAAAGCATATAGAGCTTGCACAGAGGATTTGACTGAATTTGAATAAAGGAAAATGTCTAGCACGAAGCTGATGCCATCTGCCCATTAACTTAAATCAGCCAGTAACCTCATTTCAACCACTGCACAGGAATGTCACGATCACAATATCAAATTTAAGTGTTGTACAAATTGTTACAATAATCACATTGCTAATGACCAAACCGATAATATATTTTTGCTTGTGTATTACCATCCTGCTCGATTTTGGAAAAAATCATTATCACAATTATTCAAGCAATTATGTTTTTAGTTACTCGGTGCAATTATTCAGGATTTCTCTCTTAAAGAAACCCCACTTTGTTATGAATAATTTACACAAAACTTTCAAATTGAAAATAAATATAGGCTACAAATCTGTACCTTAGAGCAGTTTTACGATGTATAAATCTTAAAATGAATAAAATATACTTTCAACATGAAATAAGGCATAGAAAAACATAACTGTATCCAAAATAAACTATATACTATATATTTCTATTAAAAAAATATCCCAAACTTTGTTAAGCTTTAAATTGTTTCAATTTTCTGAGTTTGGAGATCGTTTGACACACAAATCGAAATAGCAATCAAAATCCAATTAATTGCACAGCCTTAATTTAGTATGTAAGCAACTTAATGGAATCAAACTTTCTAAATGAAAAAGGTAGTTAAAGTGGTAGACGGATACAAAAAAAGTCACCCTAAATAGATTGAACTGAAATTACTTATTTTATTCCAAAATTGTCAAGTATTATTTTTTGGTGCTTATGGTTATAGTTTCACCTGAATTTTTTTTATTTTTTTTTATTAAGATTATGTTCAAAGTTCACATTATTGCAAGACAACAAAAAGACTAAAATATGAACTGAAAATCCAATACAAGTATTACAATTCAGAACATGTTTATAGAGGTCTAGACTGCAGGGTTATCTTGTTTTATGCAGAATAAGACTGGATATATGGAGGGTATTCATAGATCATACTTGACAGATTGCAGCCTTCACTCAAATTGCATTTTCAGTTCAATTGCGATTAATCTTGCAGCCCTAAATCCCATACATCCAGGCAGTAAAGGCATGTGATTTTTCTGTGCATGTGCTGCTTAAATGCTGCATTAGTAGTCCACTGATGTTGTGTTCTGTTTTGGTCCCTAGAAGGAGAACATAATTGAACTTTTCTTCAGAATGTGGAGTCAGCGCTTTGTGTCGCACAGCCTTTGGGCCTCATTACAAACCAGTCTGTGTTCAGAGGGGAAATACAATGTGACTGGCATTGTTCTGTGATTGGCACCTCTGTTCATACCCAGGGCACCTTTTAATGTACCCTCAGCCCCCCTGTGAAGGCATCGGGGGGAACTGGCCACAGTGTCTCACAGGTCAGTGGGTGCATTGTGTCTCAGGTCTCGAAAATGCTCCTCCAGATCATTTAACCTTTTTAACTTCAACCAAACCAATCACTTGCATTAGGTCAGCTTGACATTTGCTTGTTTTTTAAGATCATTTGAAGCTATTGAAATTAAAGTTCAGGTACAGGTACAGTTCAGTATGGATTTTTAGAGCCAATACAATTTCTGATATTTGTCTTGCTGTTGTGTGCCCATACAAATTTCAAGATTTATAAATGTTTCGCAAGGTCTACAAGTCTATCTAAAGTTCACAAATTAACTAAAATAAATGTATACAGAGGGGAAACCATTTAATTATTATCTGGGTTATTAGTTGCACGATTGTATAAACATATTAAGGTTGTCAAAATTATCGAAAATCATATACTAATCGATAGGGATGTAACAATAACCAAAATATCATGACATCGTATCGTCAGAGTTCTCACAATAATATCGTGGACCATCACAGTATGTCAAATTTACAAGTTGATGCAGCACTATCTAAAAAAAGACTACATAGACCATGATCCTTTGCTCAATTTCAGTGTGGACTACATGAAGAAATAACAGTTCTAAACACTTTTAAGTCTTGGTTCTTTGGATTAAGTCTTGTCAAGGCGTTTTAAGAGGAAAAAGTAGCATATTAACAGTTTTTTTCACAGTCTCCACAAAATATTGCAATAAATATTGTACCGTGAGATGTATATCGTGAAAATATTGTACAGAGAGATTTGGTTATTGTTACATCCCTAATCGTGAGACTCCCCACCATATCGCGAGCTTTCCCACGATATCACAATAAATATTGTACCGTGACGTTCATACTGTGACGATATCGTATCGTGAGACTTGGATATCATTACACTCCTACTCCTACTAATTGATACTAAAACTAGTATCGAAACTAGATACTAATTTGAGCACATATTAATACTAAAAAAGTTACATTCGCAGGACTGAAATGAACCTTTACTGAATAGTTTTAGAATGATCTTGAGCTGTAACAGAACAAATATCAAACCTGAACAACTGAGGGATTACACAGATGCAAGGCCATGTGGTAATATAAAAGAAAGTACAACGATAAAAGAAAAAAAAATTGATTAACTCGTTATTTGTATATGCCGTAGCTGAAGTTTCGATTTAGCTCCTGCTCGTCTTCTTTCTTAGTTTACAGAGAGCTGCTGCGGTGAATGGGGTCTTTAAGCTCTGTTGAAATTAAACTTGACCCTCTTGGACAATTAACTCTAACCCATAATATTTACTCAGCGGTATTGGGTTTTGGATGGCCTGGCCCCAGCGCTGAGCTAGCCCAGCGACCATCAATCATCTCCAAGGCTGTGGATTAGGGGTGCATGACATAAGACGTTTAAGAGGGCTAGATTTTATACTAATAATTTCGCAGTTTGCATTTGAAGATAGCTAGGGTCAGGAGGTAGCAAAGTCATTTTCTTCCCATGAGAATAATTCAGCTGCTTATCACAGTTATACAGTTTTGAACAGTCAGAAAAAGGTTAATACCGCAAATATGTTACAGTCAAATTTCAAGTTGGCAATTACTCCTAAAAAATGTAACCTAAGAGACCTCCTTTTGGTAAATAAATAGAATTGGACACGGAGAATTTTGTGTTTTTGTTGGTAGCCTCTTGCCTATCCTTCATTCATGGTTGTATTTGGCTGTATTCTCTAGAGTGAGTTGAAGGCTGCCTGACAAACAGTGCCCTTGGGGGGGGAGCACACCTGAGCTGCAGCTGACTGTTTGTTTTTTGGGCTCTCCTGGGGGACTGGAGGAATGGTTGGGCGGTCTTGGAGGTGTTGGGCGTGAGATGCTCTGTATGCTGGATGCTCGTCCTTGTTTTAGTGAGCTTTTGTTTATCGATATATTGGCAGCTGTGATGGGAATGTGTCTTAATGAGGTCTCAGGAGAATAACGCAGATTCACCTGCTCCTTAAGTCTGTGCAAGAGAAAAGGAACAAACTAATAATAAAGTGGCCCACAATTCCATATGTTAGAGTGGGGCAACAATATATTGGCTTGTACTGAGTCACAGCTCAAGTTTTGTTTTGTTTTTTCTGTAATTTCTTTTGTTAATGATGCACTTTCTCTTCCTTACAGTTTGCAAGGACCCACCTTACAAAGTGGAGGAGTCAGGATACGCTGGCTTTATCCTGCCCATCGAAGTTTACTTTAAAAACAAGGTTTGTATTCAAGCATAGACGATCTTGAATGTTCATTTATTTTAATGTTTTGCATGCAGAACCACAGTGGATATAATATTGCTTGTCCATAACCCAGCAGTTTTCTAGGACATCACGTTTATCCATAGGTTTATCTGTTTAGCGACTATTTGCCTTCAGGTTAGTCTTGTATTGGTTCTCAAATTTATCACTGTGTCTATCTTGGTGCCTATAGGAGAAGTTTCACAGTTGGTTTAATGAATGCATATAGTGAGGCTGCAGAGAATGGCACAGCTGTATATTTTAATGGGAGCTATGACATTATTCATAATGGAGTGTATTTTTAGAGTTCCTCATTGTAGCAGGAGAGAAAGGAGCAGACCTTGTACCAGCCTTTCTAAGCTCCTTCATTTTTCCACTTAAAATGCCCCTTAATGTAAAATTCTACTCATGTTTTTTTCCCTTTCATTTTGTCTTTGTTGAACTGGATTAATGCTTTTTGAAAGTACATTTCTAAATAGGTCAAGGTCACAGAGCTTCATGCATACAGAAATACTTTTTATTTTAATAATTACATGCACTTAAATGCTAATAATGGCCAAAGTAGGTCTATGAATAATGAATTATGATTACCCAACTGCCAAATGTTCAGTAGTTCAAGTCTTCAAGGATGCTTCAAAGAAAAAATAAACTTTAAAAACACAAAAATAAAATCTTGTATTAATGAATCTTGGGAAATGAATAGGCCCCCCTCATTTGCTGTTTACTAATACATGCTGACATGTGTGTGCATTGAACATTTAGTGTATTTAGTGATTTTGTATCTTCTCTATTCTGATGCTGTTTACTTTTCAGGAAGAACCCAAGAAAGTGCGCTTTGACTACGACCTATTCCTGCACCTGGAGGGCCACCCGCCTGTGAACCACCTGCGCTGCGAGAAGCTCACCTTCAACAACCCCACAGAGGAGTTCCGCCGCAAGCTGCTCAAGGCCGGAGGGGTATGTTTGCTCTGTGTGTACTGTGTGTGTGTGTACTGTGTGTGTGTGTACTGTGTGTGTGTGTACTGTGTGTGTGTACTGTGTGTGTGTACTGTGTGTGCTCCCGGGACAAGACAAAGACAAAGGTGCAATTAAAGCCCATCAAGTCACGAAGATTCACTTCTTTACTTGAGTGCAGAAGTACATGTTGTCTGATCCATGTTGCTGTTCATGATTAGAATTGGTAGAATAGGTTATACATTTTATATATATATATTTTTTTTTTTATAATTTCATAGTAGAATTCTGTTATGAGCCTTGCCCTTCCTAATGTTCATGGCAGGTATTGCGCTTTTTTGTGTAAGGCTGTAATCAAGTTCCTTTGAATGCCTCAGAGCCAAAAATTCAGTTCATTGACCTTATCCATAACTAAAAACACTTAATTTGGATGGTGGACCTTCACCAAAGTCCGTTCTAGGTCCATTCTGTCGACTCCAAACCAATAGTTAATTGTACTTTTAATACTGAGTTTGTATTTATATTACATGACAAAGAGACAGAAACTAGGAGCAACATACACTGAGGGAAACTGTTAGCTCTGCAGCAGAGCCTTGTGGATCCAAACCATCGCCTTTCTAAGGCCCAAAGAGCTTTGTTTGGCTGAGCGCACTGCAGCTGTCACCATCAGTAACGTGAATACAGACCAAATGTCATTCACTCACACTGTTGGTGTTACAAAAGGTGTAACCTATCCAGCCTTTTATCTTTTCCACTGTCCTCAGGAGCAGCTAATGGGTGTCACTGCTTTACACTTTAGGTTCTGCCTATGGAGAAGAAATGCTCCTTATTTACTTATGTACTGTTTTTGTGTCCATGAGACTAAGTCTGTCCTGCGTTGTCATAGTTTTTAAGACTAGAAACCTAATATTCCAGCCTAGTAGTATGATGGCTTTTATTTGATGGGATATGCACAGAACAGGGGAAACCTCTGGATTAATATTTATCAGGCCTGAAATGGACACGTTTACAGCACACAGTTATTATTCCCTGCCCCCTGCTCCTCCACTCTTTACAGTGTGGCCTATTGTTCCAGACAGTTGTGATAAAGTGGCATTGGTTTCCCCTCTGATGCCTCCTCAGTGTCTGCTGCAGCCAGTGCGTTGGCCCTGAGCCAGCGGTCCCCTGTAGTCAGGAGGTTTTATGACTTGAGCTAAGTGCTTTCTATTTACATTGTATGGCAGCCCTTCTCTCCATAGAAAGGGTTTCAAGTGCTGACATAGACCATGCCCTGGCTCTGTCACCTGTGGGACACCACCACTGTAGTTTAACACTGGACTCTTAACACTGTACTTTGGCTCAGGGCTGTACAAGCTTTATGACATGTTCTGTAATGGACCCATGAAGGACCCACATCTGCTGTGGAGCGTAACACTACCTCACTTTTGATTTGTTTTTTTTACCAAACCATTCACTCCAGTCCCAATTATTTGTTCAATGTGGAATCGGCTCTTTTATTCAGAAGTAAGTGTTACCATGGAGATAAATAACAAGGGTAGAGACTAAAGATATTCATCTACAGTATTTTATATCTTAACCAGTTCACTTCCATGTTTGATATCAGTGTGTCATCATAATATTGTGATGCCTGTAGTAATCGTATCTTTTTGTTTGTCTTCTGCAGCAGCGGGATCCTCACAAGAGAAGTTCAGAGGATTCAAAAGTAAGTTTTCCGTCAACTCCTTGAAGAAAAACAGAAACAAATTCAGATCCAGTTCCAAACCCAGCTGTAGCAGAGTCTCACCTCGGCTTCTCACTGAAGCAGCTGTCACCACTTTGTAATGGCCACGACATTCTCCAACAAAAACAGCCTCTGAATGTGTCTGTGCCCACACTCACTGCTCACTGCACACCAAGGATCAAGTCATTCTTCCAATTCTTACAGCTACCATGTTCATAATAGAAGTGGACTGTAGAAATGATTGCTATGATTTGTATTTGAATTCCTTTAATAAACACAAATGTGAAAGACACACCTAATGAATAGGAAGGTCATTTGTCATTCAGACAGAAGGACCTGTGTTATATCAAGACAACTTTCTTACATATTGTAAACTATAAATCTTTCTACTGGAAAAAATAGGCTTTTTCTGATAGTTGTGCCAAAACATTGGCCAAATTTCTTCTGATACTTTTCAGTTAATAGGAAAGACATGTCAAAAACAACAGGAAAAGGAGCATTACACTCCCAATCGGAAAAATGCATGTTGAAGGTGTTCAAAATGTGTTTGCTGGCTCAAATGAACACTCAAATGTTTTCCTAAACTTGTCCTCGTTCCATACACTGTCTGAACCCCACTTCCTGGCATATCACATTAATATTGAGTCGTACTTTTTCCACTGCAGTACAGACATTTTTCACCAAGCCGAGCTTGTCATAACAATCCTTCTCTCCTCTCAGGTGATGGTGATGCAGGAAGGCTCTACGTCCTTGTTCGGACAGCACCTCAAGCTGCCCACTCTCCCCAACAGCTCCCTGACCTCCTCTTCCTTCACCTCCGACCCCAAGAAGAGCAAAAGCTTCCACCCGTCAAAGGTCTTTTTCTTTTTGTTTTTCTTTCCCAGGTAGTGCCCAGAGCTAGGTAGTGGACTGCTGCTCGTGCTCGCCCCACCTTCCTGAAACTCTTCACCCCTTCAAAGTCTCCCGGCCCTAATCCTCGCATACTTGGCAGGTTCAAAGACGTCCGAAGCGATTTAAACTCCCCAGATTTTCAAAAGCATTCAACTTCAGTTCCAGCAAAAACTATATCTTGGCCGGCGTTCAGACATGAGTGCTTACTGTGAGTCCTGCTGTGAATCTCTGTCAAAGCCACTGGCCCAGAGATGTATAAGTTTAGCTTTTCCTGACCCGTCCGACCTCAATGCCAAAGAAATCCTATACAAATCTGAAGGAAAAATGAGTGAAGATCTCTCCAGCCATTATGTCCTAAATCACGCTGCGCTTCAATAACGTGCCATGTTGTTTCCATTAAGTTATTTTTAGTGGCTGAAAATGGTGTCATTTAAGAGGTAGGTTTGGAGGGGCCCGCTTCACATGGAATCCCTTTCCAGTCTAAACACTGTGTGATGAATTACCCGAGGAGCAGGGGGTCACGCACATGCACCCACTCACTCTCTACTGCAGGCTGTCGTCACTCTTGTTTATAATCAGGATAACTAATACAACTAACTGCTGTCATAAGTCTTATTCATATCTGCACACTCCCGCTCGCATGCTAAAATACTGTACAGCTCAATTTGTGAGGAAAAGTATTTATATTAGAACCATCAGCATACCGTATAAATGTATATCTTTAGGTGTCAAGGAAATATGCTGGCATTAAACAGTTCTGCGTGTTGGCTGCAGTCCTGGAGTGGTACGGAGAATCAAAACTAATGTTATATCTCATATATAACATATAATAATTCTATTTTATTAACTCGCCTGGGCACCAAGTCTAATTTTCTTACTGTATTTACTTAACAAAATTAGTGTTATACTGTTCCTCTATCATAAATCCACCATTGTAAGTGGAGAGCATGGAAATATAGGTGAAATTATATACTATACTACTACTACTACACTATATTGAAATTATACACTATATTGTTCCAACAATTCCTGAGATCAAGGATTTAAAGCCGGAATAAAGAGAATCTTAGATTTTCATCAAGGGGAAAGACACCCTTCTTCCTACAGCATCTGGGAAAAGCTTAATATACCAGTTAGCCCCGTTAGCGGTGCATTACTTATGTCACAACCAAATAGTAGCAATTGGTTAAATAAAAAAAGTACCTGCTTACCTACCTGCTTACCATCGAACAAACAAATTCTAACCCTGAGGTCAGATGGTTTCTACGAAGTGAAGTTGGCAGATGAATCAGGCTAGTAATGATATCCAAGTCTCACGATATGATATCGTCATGGTATGAACCTCACGGTACAATATTTATTGCAATATCCTGGGAAAGCTCACGATATGGTGGGGAGGCTCATGATTAGGGATGTAACAGTATCCAAATCTTTTAAGATATTTACACAATATTTTCACAATATACATCACATCTCTTAAAATGCTTTGATAAGACTTAATCCAAAGAACAAAGATGTAAAAGTGCTTATAACTGTTATTTCTTCTTGTAGTCTACACTTAAACGGAGCAAAGGATCATGGTCTATGTAGTTCCCTCTGATTTTTTTTTTTAGCTATTGCTGCACCATAACTCTTAAATTAAGCAAAGAGACTTGAAATTTGATATATTGTGATGGTCCACAATATTATTGTGAGAACTTTGATGATACGATATCACAATATTTCGATTATTGTTACATTCCTATTCACTATTTTTTGTATTGTTGGTTGAAGTTCAAGCCTGCAGCTTTATCCCCAAGTGGAGGAAGCTATGGTGTCACCCTGTTCTGATCTTCCTAAGGGTCCATAAACTGTAACTACCTACTGACGCTCTGCTGTAATGACTGGACCCCTCTGATGAGCTCGGTGCTAGTTAGACCCTGGCAGTAAACTGACTTTTTTTTTTTTTTTTTTAATGTGGGCACAGCCTTTACTGCTGTGGAAGGCATGCTAGCCTCTTAAACTGAGCCGGCAGTTTTACATCCTGCAGGTCGCAGGGTCAGCGGCTGATAAAGCAAATGAAAGAGCTGTGGAGGTGGCCGTCCGCTCTGGTAACACACACTCCTGTCTAGACGCTGTAATGGCTTTAGTGCATTGATGAAATATTGACAAAAGGCTGGAGGTGAGACCCCGGGACAAACGGCCCCCGGTGCATTTCCTCTTTTCTCCCAGCGGCTCCCTCTCGCTCAAAAGAAGTCCTGAGTTTGCTCTTTAAGCCCATACATGCAGAAATAAGAGGCGGATTTTGATTCTGGGCCCTTTTCACTGTCTGTAATGCTAAACCATGGGGTGCTATGGACATTTTGCTTGTATAAAAGGAAGAGGATTAATCTCTGATGTGGCTGCTTCTACTGGCGTTGTTTGCCGCCACAGAGCTGTACTCAAAGCCAAATGTCAACACAGCATCAGAGAGTTGGAATGAGAGCTGGTGGAACACTTTCTTTGCTCTGTGGATCCAAAAGGGAGAGTCTCACAGTGGCTAATTGCACCCTCACCTTTATGCTTGCCCACTGACCTAAAGCTGGATTTCCCCCTTTCTCTCCAGTAATCTTTTCAGCTCCACTTTTTTCTTTGTTGCTAAAACCTGCTTCAGCACCTTACTGTTGGACTGAACCTTTTCAGGATCTTGCTTCTACTTGTTTGCAATGTCATTATTTGTGCGCTCAATGTGTAGCCAGGAAAAAAAAAACAACCAAGCATGGCAGAGCTGCTGCTTTACATCTTTTGCCACAGTTGCCATGTTTTAGATGCTTCACTAATATGTTTCAGCATCAAAACTGAAAACTGACAATGAGAAAAACAAACTGCGACATCTGTTTATGTTAGTCCCTTTGTTTAAATCATGTAATATATGTTGTGTTCCTGCCTCCACAGGATGGATCCAAAGGAAGCAGTGCGCTCCTTACTACAGCCACGACCACCAGCACTAACAGCAGCAGCTTCTCCAAAATCCATAAGCCCTCCAAGGACCACAAAGACAAGCCTCCCAAAGACTTGAAAGAGTCCAAAAGTGCCTTCAGAGACTCGGGCCCCAAAGAACCTGCCAGAAAACCCAAAGAGAACCAGCCGCTTAGGGACGGAAACCCTAAGATGGGCTTCAAGGAACCCAAATCTATATCCAAGGACCACCGGACTGAAGGCACGCACGGGACAGGGCCCAACAAGCGCCACTCAGGCCATGACGCTGACGATCACATCACCAAAAAACACAAAAAGGGATTTGTGGACTCCTCGGGGAAGCAGTCCTCAGACACTCAACATTTAGACAAGAAACTTTTAAAGGAGCGCTCACATATACGAGCAAGTAAAACGCGACCAGAGCTGGAGGAGGCCGAGCGCCGGAAAGGATCGACTCTGCCTCCATTTCAGGAACTAGTCGACCCTAACGATTCAGACATGGACGACCACTCAGCCAAGTCTGATGTGAGTACATTATGTTAAATTGTTTTCTGTTTTCTTGTCCTCATTTTGGGTCAGATTGGATAATTTGCATTCATATTATTTCAATGTTCTTGGCTTTCTCTCCCGGCTCGGTAAACTATTTTGTATTTAGGAGGCACAAAATCTACTGTATGGTTTTCTCATTTGCATTTGAATGTTTTTTCACTCACCACAAGCACACACATTACATTTATTTTCTCATTTGTGCTCGTTTAGTCCATGAAAAACAAATATAGTGGACTCATTTAATTAAAATCATATGGTTCTGTATGCACAATAGCAGAAAGGAGAATGTATGGAGTGAGTTAGCTAAACTTTTAGGAGTGGCTGGATTGTTTTAATGATTCTCTGTTTGTTTACATGGTTGTTTTTGTGCGACTCAAGATCCTAACAGAACTTTTGCCAATACCTCATCCTGTTTTAATGAATATTAGAAGTTTACTGCTCTCTCATACAGCCTCTTGACTAAACCCAAACTATCACTTGAACCCTTAGTGCATTTTTAGTGTCGGACATATTCCATTTGCACTGCAATCTTCTGTCATCATGAGGTTTTAGGCAGCAGCTGTGTGACCTCACCAGCTCCGGGTTATAACAAGAATGTACCATCGTCACTGTTTCAAGGCTTTTTGGGATTTGTTGGTGGCCTTGGTCTGCACGGTAGGCCTATAAACCCCACTGACCATCAGGGAAAGGAGCATCTTAAAGGGTGGTCCGTGAGGTTCCGGGCGTCCAGCTCAGGGGGATTGGAAGAGGAGGCGGGGAACCAATAAAACCAGCAATCATTTCAGCATAAGAATTTACAAGATGACGTCCTGTAACTGGATTCCGAGTATGGCTTTCTAGTTTGCTCAAAGCCGCCATTTTCATTTCTTCTTATCAATAGACTAACTTTGGACTGGGTTGCCTTGGTCCTCAGACATTTCAGAGGGACCTCCCCATAAAGAAGGGCTGTTTAAAAGCCAAATAGTGGCCTAGAAAGATTTATGGTTTTACAACACCTGAGTAGAAAGGAGAGACGTGGCCCTGAATAGCACGGCGCTCCCCTTTAATCCTTTTAGCCTTTTCAATGAAGGCAAAACGGTTGCATTTGTGGAAAGAAGTCTAAATCCCAGAGCTCCGAGGAGTTTTCTTTTATTCCAGCTTGTTTTGGTTTCTATTGGGCGACGCTCGTGTGAAGTGCGGTTCTTTGTATACTAGCAGCTTGTTTAGCACAGGGACTTATTACTTAGCGTTGGGCAAACCTGTATTTTGTCTGCGCTGCCTTTTAACTTTTCCCACACAGAGCTTGGTGGTTCGGGGGGATGTGGGGGGGTCAAGCCGGTTGTAAAAGGGGATGTGGGGTGACAAATGCCAGGTGTCCAGCTCTCTCCACGCCAGCAACCCCGGTGGCCCGAGGCAGAGGAGCGTGTGTTTGATGGAGCAGCAGCACAACCGAGCAGGAAATGTGGACGAGGTGATGACACGCGGGCAGATCAGGCGGCCATGTTGGCAGGAAGAACACGCTCTGGGTCCCCATAAGTTCTGGAAATCCTGGGATATTGCGGATCAATATTTTAGTGAGGAACAGTTACTGTACATACATGCTAAGCATTCAACTTCTGCTTGGTGTTGTGGGTTTATTTCTGTGGACTATATTACTGTATCATTTTAAATGTCTTTTCTTTTTTAGTTTTTGGTGACAACAATTTCTTAAAACTCAAAACTCAAAAGTTTTATTTTTTTTTATCACAGGCTCAAAATGTCTGCATCTTGAATCGTTACTGATGGACAAAGAAATACCTGATCTGTCTGTCTCTTTACAAATGGCTCTGTTCACATTGAAGTCATCATCTTTCCTGCAGCTGAACTCCACACATGATTTTGATTGAAGCAGTTGAGAATGCAGAGGGTTATATGCTATTACATTTGTGAGATATTGTATTCTTGTGTCTATGCCACTGTCCATTAGAAATGACTTATTTCCCAACTTTTAAATGTTATATAATGAAAAAACATACATTTGTTTGTTAGACTTTGAAGTGTTGTGTTAACTTGAATAGGTCTTTACTGTACAGCCTCTGATACAAGGGAGTCCTTTGTTGTAGCGCGCCCACAGTGTCAGCGTCAAAAGCGTCTTAATTCCCATTACAGTTGTTTTGTTTATTCAGCGCTTGTTGGATTAGACAGGCCGATCAAATGGTCTTGTTTGCTGCGTTTCTCTGGTTGTCCAGGTCGTGCCAAGAGTAAGGGGGGAAAGAGTCAGATGCCATGGCTAACTGTTATTTATGGCCTTTAAAGAGAGCGGCTTTGGTGGCTTTGAGTTGTGGTGGACAAAAGCCCTAAAAAGGAGCGCGCTCAGATTTATGACTGTGAGAAGGAGCTGTCCCGTAAAACTCCACACCAGCTGTGTGCTGTTTGTTGGCAGGACGCAACAACTATTCAAGCCTCTGCCTTTTGTCACTCTGCTCTTTCTCATCCGTCTTCAGCCAATCAGGGCGCGCTAACATGGTGTTTACTGCAGCAGTACTATCATAAGATCAGATCATTTGGATTGATGTTACACTGCCAGCACTGAAGCTTCCCTAATCAGGATTTCAGATTTTAGAAGAGCACCAGTGCATGGTTAGCTTCTTGTCTAATGTGTTTTAAGAAAGTGTTTTTTATTTCTTAAAAAATGTTAACTAGGGAAAGCTGCTCTGCAACACAAACTAATTCTTGGCTTGATTAGATTTGTTCTTGTTTGATAGAAGACATAATGCATGAGGTCTGCCTGAGTGAGCTTCTTCTTTTTGGTTCCTAAAAGGAGCAAGCCACAATGCGTATGGTTCAAACCACTAGTGTGTAACCATGGTGTAAACAGCATACATATCCTGGCTCTTCTCTTCTGGTTGTGTAGCTTTTTCCAATTTCACAGCTGCTGCTTCCTTATTGGACACAGAAATCCATGCAGAACAGGAAAGCTTTATGATAATGGACAAGTGCTTCATAATGAAAACTATAATAACAAATCTCTGTCCGGTCACTTCAAACAGAGGCTGGTGTTTGTCCTACATGTGGTGTCCCTGATGGGCTGCTGACTCACCCTGATGCTCCATCAGCCGTTTCCATGTGTACGCCTCATAAATGGTGCAGAGTGTCAGAGCTTGAGGAGTCTAAGGAGGAGCCAGGCTGAGCTACAGAGCAGACTCCATTTTAAATCTCATGTCATTATGTCACCTCTCTTACATGAAGAGGACACATTTATCCAGAGGTCAGTCATGAGCAGAGGCTGTTTTAAACTGGCTCAGAGTGGCGCAGTGCTTGTGGGACATGTGAACACAACACACTGTCGGAGCTGCACACACAGACCAGCTCTGTCATATGTGAGACAGAGCATTGTCTAAGAAGTGTTTCCTCTCATAGCTCTGCCTCACACATGGTTTCTGCCTGTGGCCGTAGGAGAAACCTCAGACTCCTACAGTGACATTTGTAGTAGTGCCCATTAAGTAGAACTTACTCAAAAGTCTATAGATTGGTGAATGCTTGGTGTGATTCCACTGTGTGTCTATAAACGAAAAGCAATGAATTTGTACTAGTATATACTGTCCTGTGCTTTTGTGTGCAATGTAATCATTCTTTCACATGTTTTGGCTTACAACGCTGTAGTAATTCAGTGGCTAGCTCCCATTCTTGCTTGGCGGTTGGTGGTATAATGACAATAATGACAGATATTTCCTGAGTTGTGCATCACAAGCTTCGTGATAAGAGTGGCGTGAGACGGCCAGCTGGACACTGCTCAGCATATTGGGCCAAGTGTGTCCATTGATTGTGTTGGTGCCACTCACAAGCACAAGTGCTGAGTCCCAAGCTGCAGCAAGCTGGACTTTCACATCTGTGCACACTGGTTCCGCTGCCAGGGTGAGTACTTTATGAGGCGCTAACATGAAATGTTAGCTTGAGTGCTAAAGTGGTGAGATGACACAAAATAAACAGTGACAAATTGAATGTCTGTGGTGCCTCAATCCCAATAAATAGTTTGATTACTGAAAACCTCTGTTAGTCATTTCTGACAGAAAAGCCACACATTGTGAAACAAACTAAATTTATTTCCATGCTTTGAGGGAGCATGCAAAATAGGTCTTTCTGCAATCAGATTCACTGGTTGTAGTTGTCTACACAATAATTTAGTTTCTGAATAACAGCACATTTTACCAGTTGCTTCTGGATTAGGCCTAGGCAGAGGCATTACACGCATGGTCCTTGAATGTAGTTAAAGTCCCACTAGCCTGTATATTGTGGCTTGGTATTTTGACTGTATGTTGTGTGTAGAGGCGGTGCAGTGCAGTTTGCAGGCTCGTGTGTGGCTGGTCATTAGCCTGGGTGATTTATGAAGAGGGATATAAACCCCGGGCCCAGCAGCAGTAACCCAGGCCTGGATGTTTTCTTTAGACGCACAAGCTCTCAGCGCCTCCACAGACCACTCATTCAGAGCTCACACACACTTGGAAAAGTCCTGGAAATTCTACTTCAAATGTCTTGGCTCCTGGCTCTTGTTTTAAAAGCTGCTCCTGTCAGTTTGATTCAAAGTTTATGTTTGTTAACAGTTGTTTTGTTTTTTTCATCTTGTTGACAGTCGGAGCAGCCCAGCCCTGCCAGCTCCAGCTCCAGTTCAGGCTTCGCTCCAACACACCACAAGCGACAAGGTAACTACCTGCTACATGTGCTGTCGATCACATTACAGCCAAGAGCTCAGGAGGACGGTACCAATCTCTGCTCTCACTTTCACAGTGACTTAAAACAAGTAATTAATGAGTAATGATGCAACCTGAAGACTAATACATCTGATATTTACTCCATTCAGATAGCGCTGTGTCATTTGAATAAATCTAAACCGCTATATATCAGACACGGGCTGTAGATGCTGATGTCTTGTGTGTGACTGTTCTCTGAATACAGTGGTGGACGTGATCATCAGGAAAAAGGTGTCTGTCCCTGCCCCCACCCACACAGGTAACCCACCTGTGAGGCCCCACCTGTCCACTGTCATGTGCATGTCACCATAGCTTCTGCATAAATGCACCTGAACATCACAAACATCACATTTTTCTATGGGCCAGGGCCATGGGCTGTCAGATTGCACTGATCGCACTCTTCATTCTTTATGATGGTTTATTCTTAGTGTTTTGAAATGGATCTGCACTGAAATATGTCTTCATTTTTAATCTAAATAGTGAAAATTATGTGTTTTCTGTGTTCAGTGCTGGGCCCTCTGCAGTCCGTCATGCAGGACCTTCACTCAGATGAGGATGAAGAATCTGAGGAGGATGAAGACCAGGACCTGGACTCGGACCTGGATCGACCAGCGCACACCCACCACCACCATCATCATCATCATCTCCACCACTCACACCATCACCAGCGCAGGTAACAGTCTCATCATTCTGAATATGCTTTTATTTCTGTAGTAAGAAGGCCATGCGGTAGAGCTGCTTTGATGATAATTAAAATAGCTCAGACTGCTTAACGATGGCTTATATAATTTGTACTTACTTGTTTCAGGCTGTTTAAATTATAGCTCTAAGTTCCACTTCCACTCCTCACGTTGAAGTTGCTCTAGGCTTTAGAGGTAGATCTGTCTGCCTCCCCTCGCAACAAAGAGGAAAATCTAGCTTTTTGTAAATTGCTGTGATTGATATGAAATTATAATGTAATAATGAATTGTAAATATAATGATAGTGTTTTAGTCATTACATTTGCTAAATTCAAACTTCCCAAAATGATCAATACACAGTGAAATATAACATTGGACTGTCTTTTCACTTTGCGTCCGTGACGTGAATGACAGTGAGCAGCTACATGAGATCGGAGAGCTCCTGTCATCACTGCGACGCCTTGGGTTTCCTCCCCATGTCAGCACCTGCCCTAACACAGACATAACAGCCTCTCTCCCACTCTCTTATGTCTCTCTCTCTCTCTCTCTCTCTCAGGGTCAGTCTGAGTGATGGCAGCGAGAGTGACAGTTCCTCCCCCTCGCCACCCTCGCGCCACGAAGCCCCGCCCCTTCTCAAGACTACTACTAACCAGGTACCTGCTTATACATGTCTCTTTTATGTGTTTGGAGAAGCAAGCGCCTCGCATAATGCACTGGCATAATGTTTTTGGATAAACAAGCGCATGATAGCATAATTTAGCATAATGGTGTATTGAGTTGATGGATTTATAATGAATGCGCTGCGTTTAAGCAGGGGAGAATAAAGACAAGTAGCATTTTGGAGATTTTTTAACAATTAACAATAGATAAAGAGATGGCCTAAAGGCGATTGGAATAATTAATCTGTGCAAAAATAAGAATGTATTTTCATGCTCCTATTTAAAATAAGAAATAGGATTCTTTCCCATTACAGAGCCAGCCACAGAGTAAACTATTTTTGAGGCATGAGTCATTAATACTGCATGTGCTTGTGTGCAGATCCTGGAGGTGAAAAGCCCCAACAAACAGAGCAGGCAGGACAAGAGCAAAAGCCTGGAGTGTGACAAGGTACACATTCTTCTGCCTGTTTGTGTTGCACTGTGTGACCTGAGCATTTTAATGACGACAGTGTGCTGCGTTTGCCAGGCTTACCTGGACGAGCTGGTGGAGCTCCACAAGCGACTCATGACACTGAGAGAAGGCCACATTCTCCAACAGGTGAGTGCGCCATAGTGTAACCTTTAAACATGCACACATTTAAACAGCCTCATTTGCCTGGCTCCCTGTGTCCCTCTGAGCAGAATGTAAAAAGGTGGGCGTGTGGATATGTAAATGTGTAGGGCTGCCGGCGCTGATGAACGCGCTGTCACCACAACATTAGCATGAGTAGCAGCAGCAGCCTGGAACACAGACCTGGCTGTACCTCTCTCTGCTAAATCATTGTTCATGAGGAAAAACTCACTGTTTAATTATCAGCCTGAATCAGGACCAAATATTATCCACTGTGTGTGAGAGAGTCTAAGGATACAGAATACAGACAGGCACTGGAATGTTTAGCCAAGAAAGAAAATATCAATTTGTTATTCTAATCATTCTTGTCATGAATTCTCTGCTTGTAATTGTAGAATATGGTCAAGCAAAATCAAGTGTTCACGGGAGTAATGCACACTTGAGTTATTCCTCAGTCCTGTATTGAACAGTGAAAATATCTGAAGCCCATCTCAGGCAGCTACTTAATGTTTTGAGTCGTTTGCAGCTGGGTTTGATTGCCATCACTGCATCATACTTTGTCCTGTCCAGCAAAGTCTGGGCTGTGTTATTGTCAATGAGCTCAGGAGCCTTATTATATTATCTTAAGGACCACAAACAGTATAACATTTAAAAAGTTTTCAACTGTGAAATGAATCATTGCAAGTAAACAGCCCGAGTATAACAGGAAATTCTGCTCTTCTGTTCTGCTGTCAACTTGTAATGTTGTAATATGATTGAGTTTTGGCTGCTGTCAGCACTCTGTCCCTGTGTGCCTTCTCCAGCTAAACTCTGCATTAAACAGTGGAGTGTGATATGTTACAGATCCTTTGTAATCTACTGCTTCATCTGGAAGCTATAAATGATTTGGTTAACCTGCTTCCACCAGAGCTTGCCTGTTTCTTGCTTATTTTCTCTGAGGCTATCAGATGACGGCATTAACAGAGCCGCCAGCTCAGGCTGCCAACTCTTGCCTCGCTCTCCTGACAAGAGCGCTGGCTCCAAGTCCATCCACAACTGCATCCTATACACAAGGCGCAGTAATCAGGGACATCTCAGCTCCGCCAGCAGCCCCACTTCCTGCTCAAAGAGATGGGAATGATTAAGGCCGGGCTCCGCACCAGCCCGGACCACAAACTGGCACTGTGTTTACTACAGGGAGCAGGCTAATGCACACAGCATGTCCTCATGTAGGTTACATCTGAACTACACTCCTCCCCTACCACTGTGACGACTTTGTTTTGTCTTAGGAGCTCTTAGAAGCTGACTTATTGACAAACTGTACTGAACTTATTAATAGGAAACACCTCAGAGATGGTATTCAAAAGACTTCAAACCTTTCTCACAGCTGCCATGCATGTATACAGTATAATATTTAGAACAAAGCTTCAATGAAAGTACAATGAGTAATGTGTGGGTTTTTTTGTGTATGTTTCAGATAGTGAACCTGATAGAGGAGACGGGACACTTTCATATCACAAACACTACATTTGACTTTGACCTGTGCTCCCTGGACCGTAGCACGGTGCGGAAGCTGCAGAGCTACCTGGACACATCAGGACTGTCCTGAGGGCCTGGGGTCCTGAGGGCCTGGGGTCCTGGGGTCCTGGGGTCCTGAGGGCCTGGGGTCCTGAGGGCCTGGGGTCCTGAGGGCCTGGGGTCCTGAGGGCCTGGGGTCCTGGGGTCTTGAGGGCCTAAGGTCCTGAGGGCCTAGGGGCCTGGGGTCCTGATGCAGAGCAGCTGGCTGCCCCTGTCTCCACACACACACGACATTCTGGAACCATTGGGGACATACTGCCCCCTGTGGCCATGGACCGGACCCTCTGAGGAGGGTCCACTCCAGAAGCAGGGCCTGTGTAGAACAGCCCTGTGGATCAGGAGATCACCTGGAAAGCCTTGAACTCTTTACTTGACAAACCAGGGGCCTATGCTCCCCATGAATGTGCATATTGTTACCATGTTTTTGCTTTGTGTTCTTTGTGACGGATGCATGGTCAACATCGCTTTACAACATTGTGGGTCTTATTTATTGAATTTAATTTGCAGCTGTGTGTGTTTGAAATGGCAAAAGGAAAAATTGCAAATGAGACATTGTCTAAGCACTTGGGGCTCGTCTTAAAAAGTGATGTTTTTTTTTGTAGAAAAAATCCATCACATGACCTCTATACTCCACTAATCTGTCCAGTAGGAACCAACCACACACTACACAGCAGCACTACACAAAACCCCAAATAAGAGTCGAATTGATGATAAATTATTGTTTTGTTCCTAAATATGCAATTTAAGTTTGGAACAAATTTGAAGCACCTTGTTAATTCACTGATGTCTAGTTTTGCAAATATAAAAATAATGACTAATGGTCACAAACAACACAAAATGTATTGTCAGTTCTACAAAGATAATCTGATTTATATGCAATAGATTGATGTAAAATACATACCTGTATATGTCTCGAAACCATAGAATTTTCAGTCACACAATTTAAAACATCTTGCATACTTATGCTAAATTTAGAAATCTAGATTTAAAAAACTTTGCCACAATTAAAATCTAAATTTTGTTCTTGTTGAGCAATTTTGTTTTCATTTTAAAATTAATGCCTCAATTTCCATCACCTGAACAAAAATGATAATGCATTTCATACACTACCACAAGCTCTGTTTGCTTCAGAAGAAACAGATGATGGAATACTGAATTCACCAGCAGCTTTATCTGTTCAATCAAACCTTGTCCTTGTTTAGGACTTCACAAATGTTTTACTTTACAACAAAAACATTTGTTACTGTTCCGTTACAAAAGAAAAAAAACACTGTTATTTATTTTCAGCCATTACAAAAGTGTTCGTTTCTGAATATGGGTTCATTTGGGACAGAGGTTCAGTCCCTCGTGTGTGTCTCATTTCTTGTGTATTTAGAGGCCAAACAATAAATATTCTGTATGATGTCCACAACTGTGCCAGTTATCTTATTTTACTTCAATCTGAACTTGGATTTGTGCATTTATTTCATAAAAGAACCTTCCATATGTTGCACTTTGAGTAGCTACTTGACAAATGGCCACAAGTTGCAACCAAGAAAACCTCAAGTAAGTGGCCACTTAAAGAAGGCATAACACTGTTGTAGTCTTTATCCTGTGTTAATGCTATCACCATCTCAATGTCTCTTCTCCATTGGCCTGTGAGATGCTCAGGATGATGTGCGGTGCATGTGCTGCTGCCTAAGTGGGTGGTCTGATGAGATTTGGACGCCCTCCAGTTTCCCCATCTATTTCACATCTATTTTCTTGTATGTTTTTTTCAAGAGGGATCCCACATGCTTCCATTGGCGCCTATCATGAATCTAACCAAGATGTAACCAGACTCCACCTTCTAAATACTTGTAATTCGGCTCTATCCAAAAATGAACAGTGTGACTTTCACTACTTTGAAAAGTCACCTCTTAATTAGTCATAATGTCCTTTACCATGTGGAATAATCTATAGATATTAAATAAGCTAAGAGCCTCAAAATGAGATCGTTCCAGGACATTGTACAACCTTGGCTCCAGCTCTGCAGCCATGTTCATATAATAAGATACTCGATTGACCCGACTTTCCAAAGTCCTTTAGACGTCTCGTGTCAGATAAGTGTGGTGTTTTTAGATATGTGTGCAGAAAGATCAGTCTTTTTACATTTAAAAAGTTGACCGCAACAGTAGCCATGTTACCAACACTATGATGTGAACTGAACAGTACACTAGACATATTCAGAGCATTGGAATCACATCAACAGCCACAGACTGGAGTGGTACATGATTCATTGCCTTGTTATTGTTGACTAAGCAGTGAAACCCAATGTCTTCTTCAGCGTTCTCATTTCACTTCAGACTTGCAAATGTGCCATGATCACCACCAATCTAAGCCACTTTTTTAAGCAAGAATACAAGTTCCTTAAACAATGGTAAAACTTCCAGAATTGTATTGAAATACTTTACAAACATACACAGGGGAAAACATTGTATTGCAAAAAGAAATATCCAACATGTACTCCAACTTTACTCAAGCTAGAAGACCAATTACTAGGCCTATAGTCGATATTAGTGGTCTAGTATTCTTCAGGCTCTCATGTACAAGCAGCTACATTCCACAACTCTCCAAACTAAATGGAGACAAGAAAGAGAAAAGTGGCTGCTTGGAAGTCTGGATTAATTTGAGCCATTTTCTTGTGAGAGAATGGGTCTGGGGTAGGGGAGGGGGCGCAGGGGAAGAATAGAGATGAAGGGGGGGTACAGAAATGGTTCAGAGACCAGGCCAGCCAGCGGGACATCCTGTTTGAGCTCCCAAAGAGCATTTCCTCCAATAAAAAGGGGGGAGAGCGTCCAAATAAGCTCCCGCCGAAGAGACACAGAGACATTGATTGTCACCTTGGCAGGAGGCCAAGTAACTCCCCTCTCCCCAGTGAGGCCGGGTCCAAGTCAAAAAGCTGTGCAAGGCAGGACTTCCAAACTTGCATTCCATGTCCTACCTGAGAACAAACTGAAGCAGACATACATAATATAGGATTGTAACTTAAGACATACGTGAGAAGAGAAAAAATGAATTTCCCAACCACAAGGTCACTGGTTCAAACACCATAAGTACTTCAGTATATTTTTGTTATAGGCTGTATATGAGTTATCCACTTGAACTTTGATTAGCCTTAATAAGCAAAGACATAAAAACATTGTTATTTTATGCAGCTGATTTAATGCACCCTAGGAATGAATGGAGGATTAGATATTATGAGATCATGTTTTTGTGTATAATTCTCATGGTGGCAGTTGTTTTGTTAATTTGAGAGCTTCTTGGCCCTGCTTCAAGTCTGGGAACCATTACCATTATGTGGAACTTATCATCTTCCTTCTTGGCTTCTGCCTCCCAGGGTAGCAACAGTCAACTGTCTGCATTATAGCATGGAACACAATATTGATTTGTCCTCCAGTTTGTTTTACATTGCATTTCATTTCTGATCTCTCTTTAATCTCACTAGTCTAAATGATTGAATTCTTTGGCTGAGGTTAGGATTAAAGCACCAATCATTAGGTTTTGGGTGTATGCAGGGCAGTAGACAGGGGGACAAAGGGGCCCAGCCCTAGGGTTTTAGGGGCCCAGAATTGGACCCACTCCCTATTAATTTATATTAAAGAGGGTCCCATGTGAGGCTTCTTGCCCCAGGGTCCCAAATCTTTGTCAACGGGCCTGGGCATATGCATTGAGTCAGTGCTGCCTCTGTGTTTGTGCTTTTACTTTTACAACTTAAAACAATTTACAGAATCAGTTTGTGTTGCCCTCTGATGGCAAAAGGAGGGAAGGGAGCATCATGAAACGCTGAAATAGCAGCACAGAGATTCTTGGTGAAAATAGTCCAAAAAGGTAGAAAAGGTAGAAAAAAAATAGTCAGGAGAAGGTGTGTGGACATTGAAAATCTTGATTTAACATAATAGGCTATTCAGATATTGCTTATTGCTTATTGCTTTCCCTGGAATGTTCCAAGGTGTTTTTTTTCTCACAATAACAATGCGTGCTTTTTCGAGAAATTAAATGAATAAATGTATGACAAATCTGATGTGGAACATTCTAGGCAAAGCAACAAATCTCCATGAAGACAAACAGGTAGCGTACCCTTCACCAGAAAACTTACAGCTTTATTAGATTTTTTTATTTATCATATCTGTCGCTTTTCGGTCTTAATTCCAGTGTGAGTGCATTAGACCACCAAAGATCTGGGAGTCCATGTTTGCTGAGAGATTTGAGCCCCCTGGCCACTTCGCCATTGTCAGCAAATTTGCCCTGTTGCCATAACCCAAAGACGCACATCATATGCTTTTGTCCGGGCTGCTGTCTCCTGTCCCCCCTGTGGTCAGCCATGTTGACCTTCCTGTCTGCTCCACCATGGAATTGTGGGTGGCTGGACGGACCCTTGCCCCCCCAGTCAGAATGCATACAAATTGGCTTTTCAAAAATCAGATCAAGTTATGTAAGAACAAAAGCAAGCAGACTTCAAAGTAAGAGGAGGGGGAAGCAGCCACTCTTCCATTTAGATGCCAGCCGCTAAAGTAGAAAAAACACAGCCATCCAAAAAAAAAAAAACAGAATAAGACAATGTTATGCTACATTTTACATTTTCTGGTAGGAGGAGACAGTGGTTCCCTCTTTTCTGCATCACTCAAGGAACAAAAACTAAAACACAGCTCTGCCCACGCCAGTTTATCTTTCCCACAATCAGGGATCAAGCTGAGAAGTATGAAGAAGTGCAGAGGTGGGACCAAGTCATTGTTTTGCAAGTCTCAAGTCTTTGACCTCAAGTCCGAATCAAGTCCCAAGTCAAATACAGGCAAGTCCAAGTTGTGTCACTGGCCCATAAGTCCAAGTCAAGTCTAAGTTGTCTGCTTTGAGCTTCAAGTCATTTAAAATCTTTAAACCAAAACACCAAATATAGCTTAGATTTTAGCAATTTATATGACTTCTAAACTAAATTGTACTAAAAGTCACAATATATTTATATATGAGTATTTACATAAGAGTTGTAGAAATGCTATTTTTCCTTTTTTAATATCTTGACAAGATTTTAGTGCAAACCATTACAGTCAGAACAGAAAGAATTAAGATTTAAAAATGCAGTAATTTTGTCTGCACTGAAATGGAAGGATCATGTCCTCTGTAGTTCCCTCTGTTTTACTGTATTGTTCTGTATATTACTGTAGTACATTTGAGGATACCACATCACAGTACTTCATAGTACTTCGGTTACATCCAAAGTACCAAACAGAGAAGTGGGAGAGACATGTTCCAGTTTGTTCATGTAAAATTAAGCACAGCATTTATCAACTATAAAGAGAAAAGTATTTTCTAAAAACATATATTTTTTTAGGAGAAGCATCAAGTCTTCTCAAGTCACAGGCCTAAAGTCCGAGTCAAGTCCCAGGTCACTGAGCTTCAAGTCGAAGTCGAGTCCCAAGTCTTAGTCCATAATATCAAGTCAAGTCTGAAGTCCTAAAAATAGTGACTCAATTCTGACTCGAGTCCAAGTCCCCACCTCTGGTATAGTGCACTTTTAAAATTGAGTTACTTGCTGTATTTATATTTTTCTTTTGTGGGGTTAGACTAATCTGAGTCAACAAATGTTAATGTTAAGTGGGTGGGTATGGGGCATTGGCATTAGTGGTTACTTTCCACAGTAAGCTACTCAATTGGAAAACTGAATTTGACAATGACCACCATGTAATTAATGACTCATCTTGGGTGCGTTTTTGGATCTGGATGTTTTGCTTTTTGAAACAAACACTTCAGTCTAAATGTTGTCTCTACACTCGCGATGTGCTGCCCTATACACAAAGTTAAGCTCAGTTCAAGTCAAGTCCAAGTTTGTTCCATATGTCAACGCCAGCCAGTGGTGGATTTGATTATTGTTGCCCCAGCCCCCCTCCTCCCCTCCCGCTTCAGACCTCCAGCCTTTTGGAGCGAATCCCGAGCCCAGACCTGCGTGCTCTTTGATTTTGGGGGGAAAGGGGGGTTGGACTTGGCACTGCTCCTTCTCCCCCTGCTTTGTTCCTCTTGATGGATCTAGGCGGGCCGGCGAACCATGACCCCTGCCAGCCCACCCCGTCTGTACATGCTCAGACAATGGCCCGGGACAGGAAAGGAGAGGGGGAAAAACTGTGGACAAATGTTGTGAAAGCGTCTGAATCAAAGTCTCATCACTGGCAGAGATTACAGCAGCGAGTGTGGCAGGCTGCCCTCTTTGTGGCGGTTCTGATAAGTTAGCCATGTGTGATGTCCACTGGCTATTGAACGCCTCTGGGCCACCTGCCGCCCCCCCGACCACAGAGTGAACCAGGACAAGGAACCTCCTGAACCCACCTATGCCGCGCTCTCCTCCCAAATGGTGTCATCAAAATGGACGCTTCATTACATAGATCTGTCTAGAGC